ATTGTGGGAGTGCTGGCAGTTCACCCTCCACGTCGGATAATAACGCGACAATGGAAAACCGAATTGGACCTAGTCGAGCTCGTCGTTGGAGACGAGACAAGGGCTGGGTTTGGAGTCAATTTTTGGCTCAAGCCAGACAAGCCGACCACCGCCAAGAACAATGAAGCGGATCGCCTGGGTCGATCGCTGGCGTCACTTCGACCCCACGACATCGTTTTGCTCCGAACCGTCGGGCTCAGTACATTCCAAGATCGGGTGTATGGACAAAGTCTGCGCCGAGGGATGACTACAGTCGAGCTGTTGCATCGACAATCGGTAGATGTGACGGATGCAGTTGGATTTTACCAGGGTAGAATACAAGAAGGTAGCTCCCAGAATGATCAGCCGGTTCTTAAGGTTCGCCGTGTACGAAATTGGATGCTCCGATTTGTGACGGATTCGGTTGGAATGTCACATCCACGTGGACTACCTCCGGATACGCAATAGTTAATTGATTTCATACTTTGATGCTTTATACTTTGTATACATATGTGGTTAAAATATTAGCTCGATAAATGATGTATGTAGTATGTACGAATCTTTGAGTACGTAACCACCAAGTGCCCATTGGATCTGGGACGGGAGAGGGGGAACAGCTCTGGAGGGTTAATCCCCCCCCCCACTACTACAACACAATCTTGGAAATATCCCTCCATCACTAAAGTTTCAGGGGCGACACCTCATGACCACAGGAAATTTGAGGTTTAGTTTCGCGGGTGCCATCTGCATTGCCCCGGTGAAAACCATGCAATAACATTGGACATATTGACCGGGGATGGCTGAACTAGTGAGACCTCAGGAGACCAAGAGACTTTGATGCACGCGTCAGAGCTGTCAAATCTTTGGGATGTATTTGAAGGAACGTCAATCTACTCCGTACATACGATATAAATTGATGCATTTAATCTCAAGTAAAATCAAACCTCCCAAAACAGCTCCAAATCAGCTGAAAGTCGAAGTATATGGCCCCCTTTTTCCCGCAAACAGCGGCCGCTCCAATCACCGCCACTCACGTGCCCCCACTTGGACGAAAATAAATCCATCAACGGCCAGGTGTTCCCTAAATAACAGAGAGTCTCTCTCTCCTTTTGCTTAGCCTTCTCTCTCTGACTCCTAATTTTTTTTCTAATTTTTCCTATTACTTTCAATTTCAATTCATCATGAAGGGTATGTGGTATATTCAATGCTTCCACTTGTCCCCGCTAACCCCTCTACAGCTCTCATTCTTGTTGGAGGGTTCGGAACCCGTCTGCGTCCTCTGGTAAATATCCCTTTTTATTTTTTTATTTTTTGATGTCTCATTCTCTACTGGACAATGCTAATACTAAATTGTTCTAGACCCTCACTCTTCCCAAGCCGTTGGTGGAGTTCGGAAACCGGCCCATGATCTTGCACCAGGTCGAGAGCTTGGCTGCTGCGGGTGTTACTGATATCGTTCTTGCCGTCAACTACCGCCCGGATGTGATGGTCGCGGCCCTCAAGAAGTACGAGGAGCAATACGGAGTCAACATTGAGTTCTCCGTCGAGTCCGAACCGCTGGGCACGGCTGGCCCGCTCAAGCTGGCGGAGGAGATCCTAGGCAAGGATGACTCGCCTTTCTTCGTCCTCAACTCGGATGTTATTTGCGACTATCCCTTCAAGCAGCTCGCCGAATTCCACAAAAACCACGGTGAAGAGGGCACCATCGTTGTCACCAAGGTCGACGAGCCCTCCAAGTACGGTGTCGTCGTTCACAAGCCCAACCATGCCTCCCGCATCGATCGCTTCGTCGAGAAACCCGTCGAATTCGTTGGTAACCGCATTAACGCCGGTATCTACATTCTGAACCCCAGTGTTCTTAAGCGTATCGAGCTTCGTCCGACCTCCATCGAACAGGAGACCTTCCCCGCCATCTGTAAGGAGGGCCAGCTCCACTCCTACGATCTCGAGGGCTTCTGGATGGATGTCGGTCAACCCAAGGATTTCCTCACCGGTACTTGCCTGTACCTGACTTCCCTGGCCAAGCGCAAGCCCCAGATGCTTGCCCCCCACACAGAGCCATATGTGTACGGCGGAAATGTCATGGTTGATCCCTCGGTCAAGATCGGCAAGAACTGCCGTATTGGCCCCAATGTGGTTATTGGTCCCAACGTCGTCATTGGCGATGGTGTCCGTCTCCAGCGCTGCGTCGTGATGGAGAACTGCAAGGTCAAGGACCATGCTTGGATCAAGTCCACCATTGTTGGCTGGAACAGCTCCGTTGGCCGCTGGGCGCGTCTGGAGAACGTCACTGTTCTCGGAGACGATGTTACCATCGCCGACGAGGTGTATGTCAATGGTGGCTCAATTCTGCCCCACAAGAGCATCAAGCAGAACATTGATGGTAAGTCTCGCTTTCTGTCGATCACCACCAAACCTATACTAATCGATTTATACAGTTCCCGCGATCATCATGTAATTCCCCTTTCCTACTTCCCTCTTCCTTCATGTCGCTATGCCTTTTGAAATACCTCCCTTCAACTCTTGTGCCGATACCACCCTCCAGTCCGCCCTCCTTGATGCATAGAACCGGAGTCGTTTAATGCGTTGTCTTCTCTTCTGTTGCTGGCTTGCCTTTTCTTCCGTGACGGATTATCGCCCTCAACTTCCTTCCTTTCGTCCGATAATCAATTCACTCAGAAACCTAGATGGTGAAAGCGTGCAATTTCGGCTGTTTTGCAAGAAATAACCCCTTTTAGTCTTGTTTTCTCTACGTTTATCCTTCCGAGTTATCCCCGTTTTAGTGTTACATATTGAGGGCTTCGTCACTACATCCCCGCTCCCTTGCGTTTGGCCACTTGATTTCATTCCATTTTTTCAATTTTCTTTTTTTTTTATCGTCTTCTGGCAATTGGTGGGCAAGGAAATCATGCCATATCCGTTTTAATGAGAACATGGGCGTGGGGCTGGTTCTGTTGATGTAAATAATGGGAGGCGAAATTCGCAAAAAAAAAAAAAGATTCAAGTCTAGTTGATCTTCAACACGGTTATTCAAATGTTGCATATCAGGTATCTTTGTAGAAGTAGCATTGGAAAATTATTACATACAGTTTTAGGGATACATTTACATACAGTCATTGAAGCTGTTCTTAAATCAATCAAGCAGCAGGAAACCGAGGAAGAGACATAAGCATGTGAGTCTTTGACAAAGTCATTATTTGCCTTCAGACCACCTCTAGGAACGAGCCTCAGCTTGATCCAAGATCTCATCCCATTGAATTCTCAATTCCTCCATCTGCTTCCAGCACTGGCGTCCAAGTTCCTCGAACTCTTCCTTCTTTTCCTTGGTAAGATCTTCCGCGCCGCGCTTACGACGTCGAAGTCGATCAGCCTCAACAACAGGCGTGCCGATAACACCTCCATGTCCCCAGCCGTCGACCTCAGTAGAAACCGCACTTTCAATTCCACGACGCCCGCAAGACGAACCCCATTTCGCTCTACCACCACCGGCCCGGTGGTAAGGCTCTTCAGCAGCTTCCACATCAGCCTGTGATGCCAGCGCGAGGAACACCGGAGCACAAGCGCCGAGATAAGTAGACAGTGGATGCCAGGGCGAACCCAGCATTCTCGCAACCCAGAAAGTAGCAACCATCGCCCACGCAAGGGGAAGAATAAGCGGGATGATCGATGTGGCGCAGATACCAGGGTGGGAGAGATAGGTGCGCGGGGTCGCATCGGGGACATCTGTGTGAATAGCATGGGTATCAAGCTCCGTCTCGGACTGCAAGAAGCTATCGACTGCCCAGGGGGCCGTACTCGGCAGATTGGAAGTCAGCGCGAGGAGATCAGTGAGAGCCTTAGAAGACTCATATGGCGCATCGGTGCGCAAACCCTGGATATCATCGACCTTGAAGAAGTTCCAAGTCGCCTCGAGACTGGAAACCCAGACCACACGACCGGGCCCGTTCGTGTGCGCCCGCTTCAGTAGCGGAGCCACGTTGTGCGCCAGCATGTAGTGTCCGAAAACATTTGCGCAAAAGACTGCTCCGAGTGCGGGCTCTTCTTCGGTCTTTGTTTGTTTTCCTGTTAACACGCCTGTCGGCGCGAGCTTGTAGGATGGCCAGGTTACTGCGTGGAGTAGATCGGTGCATACGTCCCAAATGGCCCTGGGCCAGCTGATGCCGGACCAGCCACCTAGACCGGCATTGAGGACAATCGAGTCGAGTCGGGGGAGGGTGTGGACTAGTTTTCGGGAGAGTTCGCGCACTGAGCGGAGATCGCCGAGGTCGACGCTCTCGGAGACGAAGTGGACGCGCGCCGCGGCGGATGCAGAGGGAGCGGTTGACTGGAGGTGCGCTTCTAGTCTGCGGATTGTGTCTTGGGCTTTGCGCGCGCTTCGAGTTGTGAATATTATGGTGAGGGATTCGGATTCTGGGTGGGAGGAGAGGAACTCGTCGGCAAGGCGGCAGCAAATAGAGAACCCAAGACCGCTGCGAATAGTCCAAGTCAGTATAAGAGATTGAGCTCAATGGGTTTGTTAAAAGTGTCGTACCTGTTGGCTCCTGTCACCAGGATGTGCAGCATATTCTGCTGCTCACTAGCAGGCTTGACCTGATCCATGGCTTGTTCCTCCAGTGAGTTTGTTGACTCGGCACTTTTTTTTTGATATCGGAGATAGGGGTTATGTGATAAGAGTGTAACAATTGAAGTTAGCGGAGCCCGGAGAGGTTGTTGCTTGTTGTCGCAAGCAGTAAGGTAAACGGCAGTCTGCTGAGCCTGAAATGAAACAAAAGGAAACCCTCGAAGTGAGCACTGGCAATTGTCTGTTGTCGAAAATCCACCGAACTAGAAAGTACCTCTCCGCGTAGATCACGTGTTCAACTTTAAATCTTATCCTTATCGGAACCGTAGATGTTGCCCCCGTCATACTCGCTCCTCACGCTTCATGGCTGAGATCTGCTAATTTTCACCCCAGGTGCCGTGCAGTCGGCACACGGGAAGCCATGGCAGTCAGAATTGAGCGGTTTCTCAACACAACCGGATTTTTCTTCTTCACCCTCATCCTCTTTTGCCTCATCCTCCTCACACCAGCAGATGCCATCTACCAATGCTACGAGACGAATCGGCTCACCAACGTCTTCTTCATTATCGGCGCATATGTGATAACCTTTATAATTGCGGCACTCATCTATGCGACACGTATCTACACAAATCGGAGTGCACTCACTGGCATACCCAAAGCTTGGATCCCCGTGGAGAGGGAAGATGTGAACAAGAGTGTTAGGCGATTAGTGAAGGAAGGCCTTGTCCGCAGCGCCGTCATCACGTACCAAGCCCGCCCGCGAGATATATCCACGGACGGGGACAGCTTCCAACAATACAGTCCGTTTCTCATTGACCCCGAACGACCGCCATGGGGCCATATCGAGCACCCCGGCTGGTCTTCGCCTAATTCACCAGACTTACCCAATCTACCATATCGCACGGTCATACAGGAGCTCCCCAGCTTGATTGAAGCCAAAGCTGTCTCTCTTGCCCCTGCCGATTCATTAGCGCCTGCGCCTACATTCCACTTCGATCCGTCAGGCGACCTTACGACGCAGTCTCTCCCGGATACACGCGTGGTAGAAGTATTACAACGACCTGCCTCCATGGGTCTGAGAGAATATATCCGCCATCTGACGTCCCTCGGGGCTATCTATCCGCCAGAACTCGGTGCAGATTTCCTTGCGCTGTACGAACACGCCCGATTCTCACCGCGCGAACTACACGAGGCAGAATTCCGCGACCTGATGCATCTCTTCGCAGAGGTCCTGAGAGGGATGACATCCCTTGCACCACCGATTTTGGATGAAATTCGCGACAACGCAAGCTATCGACAAGCTTATAGCGAATCTGTCATTGGGCCCTCGGATGAAGAAGGAGAAACAGATACCGTGGGGACATATGGCTACGACGGAGCTCCGGGCTTCATGCGGAGTAACAGCCTTCGCCCATCGAATGCGTCTACATGGGAAACCCAGTCCGGGTATGACACTGCGCCCGCAATGCAGAGCCCCGCCTCGGGGCTTTCCACAGACAGTGGATCCTACGCGACGCAAAGCTCTTTTCGCACGCCCTCTACGAGGTCTCTACGATCTCTACGACGCGTGGCATCGCGCCAATCTAGCAGTTCGGGAGGAAGTGTCATTCGCCTGGCACAGCCACGAGATCAGACAGATTTGCCGTATATAATTAACTACGCGGGACGTAGGCAATGATAATGTTCCATCCATACCCTGTATATTACTTTTAGCGCAACGCCATTTGTTCACCCAATTGCGCCAACCTTACAAGGAAGTGGGGGTTTACTTAGTCAGGCGGAAAACATTCCGATTCTTGGCGAACCTGCAAAATGATTGATAAGATCCATTTATCATTTGACTACGCGTCATAAAAAAAAGACGAGGCCAAAGTGGCAAGATTTTTTTCTTTCTTGGACTATTGAAGAAGATATCTATATCCCGTAACAATGCATCTCTTTCGCAGAGGGACTTCCTCCCTTTTTAGCTCCTCCAATGTCTCTGCTGCCTCCTCCAAGACGGACATCACTACCGACGCTGTGGGCGACAATGCCCTCGCCGCAGAGGGGTTTCAAACAATCTCGTCAAGCGATAAGCTCTTCAAAAATGTCGATCCAGCAGTAGACGGCGAAGACTGTCTGCACGACTGCTCGTCATGCACAATCAAATACCCCGCAAAATTCGATGTCGATCACCAAGACGAACTATATGGACAAGTCAAAGGATGGGCAACGCACATACTCGTCGCAACGGGCAAGTCAGATTGGGTGAGAGATGTGGCAGACGAGGAAGGGAGCGTTATGGAAGCCATTGAGAAGGGAGGACTGGAACCAAGCAACGGAGTATGACAATATCCACCACCATCCCTCTTTGCCTGCCAAAGCCAATACACACACAGAAGCTAACAACAATCTTCTCACAGCGACTCAAACTGTCAGCATCAAATATGCCCGTCCCGGATGAATACCACATGGCCGACGCAGGCAAACAGCCAACAAACATCCTTCTCCTGCCTAGCTTCACCGTCGTCGAGCAGGTCACCCCACAGCTAGTCCCAGATCTGATCGAGAACTTCGTCAACCGGTCTCTGACAACAACAACGCCATTAGGCGCAATCCCACCCTCACCGGGGAAATCAACAGAGGCAAACCAAGACCAAAACCCTACACCACAAGACCTCCCACACCCATCGACAACATCAATCACCACATCCCTCAAGTCCCACTCCAGCCCACACGCAGCAGTAATCCTTCTCTGCTCGCAGCGGACCCGCGACGCACGCTGCGGGCAATCCGCACCCCTACTACGCCGCGAGTTTGAGCGCCACCTGCGTCCGCTCGGTCTATACCGTGATATGGACGACCAGCGGCCTGGCGGTGTGGGTATCTACTTCATTAGCCATGTCGGTGGACACAAGTACTCTGCTAATGTGATTGTGTACCGTCGCCGAGACTTCGATTGGTACAAGCGCGATGCTCCTGCGAATGGGGAGGGGCGGGTCCAGGATGAGGGTGCTGCGCAGGGAATCTGGTTGGCGCGTGTGCGGCCTGAAGAGTGTGAGAATATTATTCGGTATACTGTCTTGCAGGGCAAGTTGCTCAAGTCTGGGCAGCAGTTACGTGCTGGGTTTGACCGTGAGCGCGGGGTGACGAGTTGGTAAAGTCAGAGTTGGGTTGGTTGGGTTGGTTGGAATCTTGAGGTTAGTAGTATAGTGGATATAGTAAAGTATCTCACGGGCATATTACCATTCTGGGCTGATGTTGAATTGTCTGATGTATCTCGTTTGCGCTTATCCTATATGTGGGCCATAACAATCTTGCCTTTAGCATGTCCTGTCCTCAGCTTTTGGAAGGCCTGCGGCACCTTTGCGAAGGTAAACTTACTATCAATCACTGCCTTAGCCTTGCCTTCAGTCATCCACTGCGCAATCTGCTCTAAAGACTCGGTTGAATTCTTAGCGTTCACAAAATAGTACTTGCAGCCACCCACTGGGAAGGATGCAAGTAGCGACCTCTTCACCGTCATTGCATTGCTTCCGAGGTCTACGTTGCTGCCAATACCCACCTGGACGAAAGTGCCACCAGGCTTGAGGATCATAGGGCTAATATCGTACAGATCCGAGCTATTCCCAGCATTGTCGACAACGAGGCCGAAACTAACAATCCGGGATTTTAGCCCTGCTATAACATCTGTTTGTCTATAGTCGAAGACCTCGTCAGCGCCGAGTTCCTTGCACATGTCGACCGCTGAGCCTGAGCCTGAGCACGACGTGACGACCCTGGCGCCCATGGCGTTCGCAAACTGCAAACCCCAGCTTCCAATACCGCCGCTGCCGCCATGTATAAAGATACTGGCCCCCGGCTTGATAATGTCAGTCAGAAAATGACTGCAGAGCCGTTGTCCCGGCAGTCGCTGCGGCGGCGCCATGTTCGGGGTCAACATCGTCAGGCAGTGCGGCGCACTCAGAAGCCGAGATGACCGTGTATTCTGCCAATGTGCCGTTTGGTGGAGCACGTGAGAACCCACCGAATACAAGCTGGTTCTTGAAGGTGGTTACTGAGGGGTGGGCGGCAACAACTCGGCTACAGTGGTCAAAGCCAGGAATGGCGGGTTGGCGTATAAGTAGAGACCCCACGTAGGACTCAGGGAGCTTGTAGTCGGCTGGATTGAGGGCGACAGTAAGAACACGGACAAGGATTTGATCTTTAGTGAGAGACGAGGCTGCTGGGATGGGACCGGTGACCATGTGAATGGCGTCCTCGATGTTGCCTTTGACTTTGGCGTACTGCCCCATTTTCATTGTATCTGCCATAACGATATGACAATGGTTGAGGGATCTGGCTAGATGCCCCAAGAAGGATAACGTGGTTGATATAAAAAGCAGCGTGTTTAGTCTACCACCTAGGGAACACAAGAAGAGTGAGGTATTTACTTCAATGGCTGAAACCTGCACGGCCCTAACGGCTCCAGGAAAATGGTACGAATATGAATACGAAGCCGAAACTTAAACTGAGATAAGCATTTTTCTTGACGGAGGCGACGACATCCGTCATCCTCCGACATCCGATGATGTCTAGTTGCATAACGGGGTGGATTTGAAAGCATAAGGACAACTGTAAAATCTACTTTCTCTTGTGTCTCGCTACGTGGTACTAAGCAGAACTCGTGGGAGTTGGCAGTTTGGTCTCCCCTGGCTAGTTAATGATTCATACAAAACACATTAATTCCTTCAAGGGTTTTCTCGACGCCTATATAAATTCAGAAACCATACCTCTATATCAGTTCAATGAGCCTTCGATTTGAATGCAAAAAGCTCTTGTTGCTACTTTTTGAAGGAGCACGGATATAATGAAGACCACACTCCAGTTTCAATTTCTTAAATCCTTATATTACGGATCCTATTCAATCTACGATATACTATTCCACATTCAAAATGTCCATTGACACAGATGTTCTTATTATTGGGACGGGCCGGTCAGGCGTTGTCGTAGTTATCCGGCTTGTGTGCAAGCTTGGAACGAGGAACTTCGAAATAGTTGAGAAGTCAACTGGTATTAGAGGTACTTGGTTGATGAACTCATACCTGGGCTGTGGATGTAACCTAGGGTGACTCATTCGTCTGCGCCAAATGCCAACTGGTCGCGGAATTTTGCCCTACAGCCATAGATCCATCGGTACTTTGTTTCGGTTGCAAACAAATACGATCTCCCCATATGCGCTTCGATTCTGTTGTGAAATCGGCCGAATAAGATTCGGCAACAGATACCTGGGGCGTAATCATTGAGGACCAGAGAAGTCGACGCAAGTATAAAAAGCGATGCAGAGTCTTGATTACATCTGTAGGCGCTCTTTCAGTTCCAAAGAGCTGTGATATTCGTGGCGCAGAGAGTTTTCAAAGGCCGCATCTTTCACTCTGCTAAATGGGACCATGATTTTGATTACAAGGACAAGGAAGTGATGTGTGTTGGTATGTGAGACAAGATTTGAAAAGCAGATCTATAAGAGGAATTTATTATGTTGACTTATTGCAGGAAACGGCTGTAGCCCCACACCATTCGTGCCTGTGATGAGTGCTGGCAAAGGCAAAGTCAAGAAGATCACTCAATTTAGTCGCCAGGCTCATTGACTTTCAAAGAGGCCCAACCCTGAATACTCCAGCACTTTTCAGTTCCTTCTTCGCTGGATTTCCCGGTTTCAGACTGCGTACCGGGCTTACCTCTATTTGATCCAAGAAAAGGATTTCGCCAGTTTCCATATTGAATCTGAACTGAGTCTCCGAGAAGACTGGACAAGATAACGCACCAGGAAAGGATCGGGACTTCCTGGTTCCGACAACAGCCATTGGATGCAAGCGCAGAGTAATAGACACAGACTATCTTGCCTGTCTGCACCGTGAAAATGTTCAGCTTTTCCACGACGACCCGGTTGATCATATTACAAACGAAGCGGTGATGACAAAATCAGGCCGAATTATCAAGGCAGACGGGATTTTTCTTGCGAACGGGTTTGAGACCCAGAAACCTCTCTTCCCAATGGAGACCTGCGGGCAGACTGGACAAGATATCGTTGATCACGTAAGTTTGCCAGTCCATGGATGGATCGATCACTTCGACTAACTACGGCTTCAGCAAATTGAATATGGGAAAGGTTGAAAGGTTCACCAGAAGCTTATTTCGGTACTTGCCTCTCTGGATTCCCCAACTTTTCATGATGATGAGACCAAATACCCTCTCCGACATTTATTTTGCGTATCATTCGCCCTATATTTGAGGATTGTCGAAATACGATTATGTATCCCGATTATCAATTCCAGTTCTGGTTCCGCAGCGTGCTTGTGCGATGGAAGGATATGGTCTACAGAAGAACTACCATGGATGGTCACCACATGCCAGCTGAAACCATCCAGCTTCCTGCAGTTGTTCTTGTTATTATGTCTGCAGCTTTGGGTACTGTGATTGGAGCCCAATTTCTGGACAAGGTTGATATATCGCCCGTTGTGAAGATTTTAGAGAGCGTATATCAGTCCGTGTCCATAAAATAACTACATATTTATCCTTAGAAATCTCTTTGACATAGTAGATACTTTGTCATGAGTTTCCATTGTCCTATAAAATTTCACATTGTTTTGAGATGATAATTTTGATGTGGTTGCCCGATATATTTTGTTGAGAGACAAAAAAGAAAGTGAACAATGCCTCTCGAATTTCCTTTCCCTTAAGTCATGAACTCGTGGATCATGTTCGTTGGCTTAGTGAACGGAATATACCTTGACAGAGGCGCGTTTACTAACTTAAGAGTAGGTGCAGTAAGGTAGAAATCATCTACAATCTTTTTGACCACGGACGGCCGAAGGCATTCATGAGCATGTTTCGAGATCAACAGCGCACTTTTCTGTCACACGTTGTTAGATCCTACTTCCCCTCTCTTGCCATTTGTCTTCCTATTGTATACTTCTTTCTCTATTCATTGTACAGAGAGCGCCCTCGAGGACACTTAGCACACCTGCCTAGGTGGGAAAGAACCTCTCTTCCTGGGAAGGTCCACCTGGTCTACGTCCACTTGAAGGCTTTCCCTTGAGCTTATGTGATAGTACTGACCGGGTGTTGACCTCCCGAGGTCGGCACTGTCCCGACCTGAAGTCGGGCCCCGGCCCGAGTAGTTAAGTCTTGGAAGCGGGCCAATCTGCTTATCTAACACGAATCTAGAACCTTGGAACACCTCCACGGGTAAGCGTGCTCAATTTTACTCGGACAGCGTATATGTGTGGATTTGAGGTATACAACATACGGAGTTAGTTACATGTAAATCACGTTTGATAAACCATCACACGACACATGATATGCCACATAACATGCCCTTTGTCTGGACGTCAGGCCATTTCGTTCTCTACAACATCGCACCATAACCCACGGGCACCCCGCAGTACTGTATCTCAAACCAAGGAAACTGCACATCCACATTCCGAGGATATAAAGCCACGCTATCGAAAGTGCTCCATACCACCACGTTAGTTGCAGCAAGGCGTGCATGCGTACCCGACGGCCGAGACGGCCCTACGAAAGAATCCACGCCATTCCCATAGAAAACGTCATTTGCTCGAATGGACAGGGTTCTTTCCCCTCGATAAAGAAGATGCCACTTTACATCAGATGACTGGCAAGGGTGATGTACGGAAAGAAGCCAAGCCCTCCAGCCGCTATACCTCAGCCCTCGGGTTTTCGCTCTCCTCTGGGCTCCACCGGGCTTGTTTGAAAGTAACATGAGGCGGTGATTGCACAGAATGGAGGAACCGATGTTTTCCCGTGTTGTGTGTACCAGGAAAAAGGTGCGGGAATTTTTCCTTTTTTTTTTTTTTTTTTTTTTTTTTTGCGGGGGAGGAACGAAATTAACTGAGATCCCCGTCATTTCTTTTCCCGATATCTCTTCTATATTTACATTCGTGCTATTAGATAGGAGCTAGGAGCTCGGAGATGGTGTCTTTTACGGCAAGAGACCCCGTGTTTTCAGTAAGGAGGCGTACCAAATTCCTACTAACTTTGCTGTCAGCTGTGATAGGGGCTTGCGGTAAGTTTCCTTTTTGGATGATTTGGTCACATTCTTCTCATCTATCTCACTTACACGATTAGCCTTCAGAACCAACATTTGGTCTCTAACTTCGAAACTAGAGTCAAAATGCCTGCAAGGGGTCAATTGGTGGCTGTTCACCCTTAGTTCCAAGATCCTAACCGATAGGTTATCATTTAGCGCTGATAGGAAGAGCAAACCCCGAGTGTTGACCGACTTTCACGCAACGCGAGCGAGAGAATGCGATATCGCGGAGGATGGCCGATAATTTCGAGGATTCATTTCCAGCCTGTGGATTTTACCGAGGGTATTATCATCATCGATCATCGACCGTTCCTTGGAATACAATAGGTCGTATAGCACGCACTCGGTATCACATTCATACAGTCTCTTCTTGGTCGAAAAGCTCGGAGTTAATAGCCAGATTGCTTAGGCAGAGTCCACCTAGCTGCTTACGTTGTAGCTTCCTCGTCACCCAAGTGGGATAGCAGCCTGGGCTTCTCCATTAGTGCGTCGCCATGCGCACGTCGGAGATTAATTAAGTGGCTATTTGGGACATGAGAATTTATTTTGAAGCTCCTGCTGGTAGATTTCTCCAGTATGTTATTTTTTTATGTATGTACAACATACACTTCACATGGTAGTTATGGGTGATCGACATGGAGGTGAGATATTTCCGATCTGTTTACTCCGTGTTAGTCCACCTTGTAAATCCCTTTTCACTTGCAATGTACAAGGTACATCAAGAACCTTTCTCTCGTATACAGCCCATTACCTACAAATACCAACACTGTTAGCGGCTTAGCCACAAGCCCAAAGAGGGGGCACCTTGCATGGATCAAATCAGAGAGCTCACCAACAGCGTCATATCATCTTTCAATCGCCAAGATGAAACAAAATGCGGGGTAGTCAGAGCTTCTTGGACCAGCATCTCACGGCCGGGGGAAAGAGAGAAAAAAAAATAATAATCTCGTCGAACTCTAACTCTCGTGAAAGCCATTGTCCAAGCCATTGTCCTTACGTGATGCTCATGCAGCTTCGAAACAGCTTTTGAGCAACTTTCAACTTCCTCCTGCGTGCATCTCGCTTATTCCGAAGAGGGTAGACCTTTATTTCCAATATCCAAATATGACATATCCCCCCCCCCCCCCCCCAAAAAAACAATCAATCCCTATCCGGGGGCTATCGCCACAAATAAGACTAGTCTGCGCACAAAAACAAAGGATCCGAAGATTAGGCTCATGGGTATATTTGACTGACACTTCATTTCTTTTTCGCATGCAAAGCACACCGGCTTTTCGATTTTCTCTCTCCGCGTCAAGCTCACCAGCCGCGCCCTGCTTCGTAGCATATGTAAATATGCATATGTGCCTTAAGCAAAGCATGCATGCTGTGTCGTACCTACCTGATCGACCTATGCATATCTTGTAGCCAAGCGATTACCGTTTCATCTACCGTGCATCTATGGAACCGATTAGGGAGGTCAACGATAGTTGCAGTCTATCTCTTAGGGGCTGATCGACGGGGACTTTAGCGCTTTCTTTTTTGAATGTGATTGTTTTTTTCTAAGTTTCGTAGCGTCAACACGAGCACGTCTGCGAGTCTGGACCCTTCGGGCGGGGGGGGGGATGATGGGCTGTGCAAGCTGGACACTATGTTGTATACAATATACAGGAACCTTTCTTGGTTTTCATCTACATTTCGTCTTTCTTGCCTTTTTTGGTTTCCAGGTATTATATTTCTGATTCCGTGCTAGATTATGCCCGATTACCTCAATGGCTGAGGTGGGTTGCATCCATGACCCCTAATAGGGGAATTCATGTGGGTCTTCCATACCACACATACTCTTGCCTCGTACACTGCGTGCATCATCAAGAGCCGGATATATCATGAACGTAGAACTATTGGTCCTCTGAATGAGATCTACTTCCAAGGTTTTCTTTGCCCAGTTAATCTGCGATAAATCTGCGCCACACGACTAGGCAGAGGTCTACGGCGTACTCCGTACTCCGTACCTAAGTTGTAGGTACTAGTTATGTAAATGGCTTGTCGATCACGAAAAGAGAGCCAGAGTGGGGGAGAAAAACGAAAGCCACAAGCGTCAGCCATTACTCCGGCCTAATAAAGTTGTAGGGTCAGAAGATCGCCACTTTTAAGATGACTGCGAATGGGTTGCCACGTTCAGGAGCATCTACCACCAAAACGCCTCAGCTTCTATTTGTGTTTCAGCTTACTTTCCTTTCAAGAAGAGAGAGCTAAGCTGCTTTGACATATTCCGCCTGTGATCCTCACCGCATACTTTGCACGAAGATCGAAGGCGAAGATTGAAGCTTCTTGCGACATCTTGAGTCTATCGACTGGCAATCGAGATATCCCGAGGCTACCCGACGCACCTTGTGATAAGGCAATAGAGGCTATCTGTTCGATCTTCAAGACACATGGTTTTGCCACCGGGATTTTTAAAGCCAAGATCATGGGTAATAAGCCAAGCAAATTCCGTAACGGCCTTCTGTTCCTGGTCTACAACAGACTTTTGAGTGTGGCGCCAGGAAGTCGTTGAAGCCAAGTGATTGACCCAGCTACGATAAAAAAGCAATTATAATGATTGATCTGCGCTATATGGGGGGAGTACGGTGAAGAGAGTAATCCCTTGTTCATCATGGATGTGGCACTTCATTTATCGGGGATAGTGTGGTATATTACAAAGTCTATATCCGCCTTGAGGGATTATTTGAGACCCTGAATGTGGAAGTGAGTTATCCGAGAATCAACACCATTCCCATGTATACAATTCTAAAACAAGTGGAGAGACGGGAACAGCCCCAACCTTAAGGAAATGGGACCCGAAGCCTTGGTGCTGTTCGGGGAGGACAAGCGGAAGAGCTGGGGTACCTGATCCGTTCGGGATGGAACACTCCGAATTATTGCCGTTAGTGCAGATGCCGCGTCATAAGTCATCCCTTGCAGTCGTTTTCTTTTTCTTTTTGTCTCTCCTATTAGCTCCTTTGCTTCTTCGTGTTGGGGGGAGGAGGGGGGTTTTTTTTTTTTTTTTTTTTTTGGGAGGGAACTCCAGGTTTTACGATGTATGCCATATCTCTTTCCTTTTTTGACTTTCTCCTTTTGTTTATGGAGAGGCGGATATTAATGGGGCACTTCTAGACCCTCTCTGAGCCCTCTCTGAGGGGAAATTACTTATCCAGTTCTGCACTACCAACCACTCCGTTTACTACCCGGAGAAGATCGTTCCTAGCGTTGGTGACCTTACCCTCTCTCATTTGTAAACTGGATCGGAGTAGTTCGGCCGCGGCTAACCTTGGGAAATTGGCTTAGCTTAATTGTGAAAGTCGTTATTTCATTGTCTTTGAATGGACGAATTCCCGAGTGCGCCACCCCATGGCTTTTCATGCGGGCGAGAATGGCACTATGTACTCCGTACTATGTATGATATCATTCACACAAGCACCATCTCTCCTACTTGGCAAGGAGTAGTTGCCCCTTTAGAGACCCTAAAACTCAATATGTGTACAGTATACATCCCATGGTATAGTCTTAATAGTATTCCCCCCGCAAGAAGGTATATAGTTGAGGATTCCAAGAGGTGTTATTATTAAAGGGGGCCAAGAAACTGGGAAGTTTATTTAGATACGGTCACATACAGGGTATTGTATACGGTATCATTCCATGCCCGGCCCAGTCTAGCATGTCTTGTCATTCGGGCCTAGGTGGAGCATTTGGTAAATAAACTGGTAATGTGGGGGTTTCTAATTTTTACCGGGCTATCGCAATTTACCACGGATTTTCACTTCCAGGCTTTCAGAGAAATCCCGTCAACAGTCAATCTTGGAAGTTTTAGTATGCTACAACTGAAAATAAATTACCTCCACATGTACTAGACGGTTTTCCGATGTGGTACACTGTTTTCTACTGGGAAAAGTTGAGACAATATTTCCCTTGTATAACAAAACTCGGGAATAGAAAGAGGAAAGAAGAGAAAGGAAAGAAATGAGAATAGTTGAGGTAGGCTGCGATATTTCTTTAGGATATTTCTGATAGGTGTGTTAGTATATAATCCTGGGAATATATCAGTACAATATCGGTACAAAATGAGGGTGGTACCTGGTACCTTCGATAAAAAAAATAATAATATATAATATACATAATAAATATACCATATATATAAAAATACAAATATATAATTAAAAATAAAACCAAAACCAAAACCAAAACTAAAAATATAAATATAAAATATAAAATATAAAATAATCAACTCTTCTACGGCGCCGTTTTTTCCCCTTTCACCAAATGGTTTCTTGATATTAAATACTCTTTTTAATACTTGAGGCTCCCCCTCTTCTTTATCTTTTTTGATCTTTATCGTATATCACTTTCGTCCCCTCCTATATTATGCTCTACATTCGCAACATCCCGGCTACCCATCCAGCCTGACCAGGATCTATTTTTTTTTCCCCCTCCATTTATTTCAAGGTCGTCTGCGATCGCATATGCGCTTACGTTCTTTCCCCTCTTTCCCCCCTTGTCTACCTTCTGTTCCTTCAAGTCCATCTTCTGTCGCTCTGAGATCCCATCATGGCTCCAGGTAGTGGGCGCGACTTTAACTGCTCCTGGGAGCATTGTGGAAAGGTGGGTACTTCAGCTCTTTCTAGTTTGTTTCGTCTAACCCGCGATTTTGTAGTCTTTTAATCGCAAGTCGGATCTCTGTCGCCATTATCGTATCCACACCAATGAGCGGCCGTATCATTGCACCGTAAAGGACTGCAACAAGAGCTTCATTCAGCGCAGTGCCTTGACCGTACACTCGAGGACCCACACTGGCGAAAAGCCCCATGTTTGTGACCATGAAGGCTGTCAAAAGGCATTCTCAGACGTAAGCACTTTTTTTTTTGCATTTTGGAATGTTTGCGCATTTACTGATCGCTTATAGTCATCGAGTTTGGCCCGCCATCGCCGAATCCACACTGGCAAGCGGCCATACATATGCCACGAGCCTACATGCGAACGGAGGTAAGTACTTTGGGTGGAAATAGTCGAAGCACCATCTAATTGTTCTATTGAAACTGCAGTTTTTGTCGCAAGACCACTCTCACCAAACACCAACACCGCTCCCACCCTCCAGGGAGCATGACCCGACCATCCTCAGAAGATGCGACCTCCGAGCACTCTTACCACCAAACACCCATATCAGTCACGGTCCCGAGTGAGCAATACATGCTCGCCCAACAACCTTATTACGCGCAATCGGCGACACCAAGTCATGAATTTTACTCACCCCAGAGTGTGCCGATGGGCTCCGTGCCGGTTCACGAAGCCGCCCCTCCGATCGTATCGCAGAACGTACCTGGGACTTCACCGGTAAACATGCCACTCGCTCAACAGCCACACCCGCAACATCATGCGCATGCGCACCAAATTCCACAACAACAGCAACAACAGCAACAGCAACAACAGCAACAACAGCAGCAGCAGCACCAACAATACCTACAGATGATGCAACAACGCTATGACACAAGCCCACGCACAAACTACCTCCCAGAACAATACCAGCACCCGTCTTTTCAAGGGCATCAACTACCACCTGAACAACCAATGATGGTTTCATACCACCCAAACTATGCGTACAAACCCCCGGGCTCCCGTCTCTTGAACCAAGCGGAGGGGACTGACTGGGGTTTTCTGGGAGTAGGCTAAGAGGAGATTACACCTAGATTTGTGGATCCAATGCGTGTTTAATGCCCGTTACGACTTGCCTGCTTTCTCCGGGGCCTTTGTTCTTTTTTGAATCGCAAATCAGGGATTCACATCTCTCTTTTGTTGTGGTTTTATATTTGCTCTTTCCTATCTCTGCTCCGTTTCTAGGATTCTGGGCGCTTTTATTATGGATTCCCCCTCGCGATATTATGTTATTCTTCTATATATTGTCATTTTAAACGGAGGCAAAGGTGTTTCCCTTGGCGAATCTTTTACTTGATACCTGAACATGGGATGTGTTTTTCTCTTTTCAATTCCTTTTTCAGCTATATCCCCTATCTCTGCGTGTATCGGTCGTCTATTTTCACCCATCAGGTTCCGAAGAATTTCTTTACCAAGACGGTCATTCCGATATTGCCCATGATTATATCGGCAGAAGCTAGTGTTTCCCGGAAATAATTACTGCGATGGGAACTCCACTTTCATTGGCCCCATTAAAGACCTAGCCTTTGAATAGAATCCTTTCTACATCTATTTACTGCCCGTATTATCTTACCTTCAAGTCTAGGCACTATCATACTACGAGCTAGTTCATAGTCGAACTAGTTCAGGAATGTCATACCATGCCTAGACTGGCATGCCATCCGGAAATAAATAAATTGCATGGCATATTGGTATACATGACTCGTGGCTTTGGATTTTCATTTTTTTTTTTCACATGTCTAATTATTATTTTGGATTTACACGCGATGGCCCCATTTCCTTATTCCTCGAAGTTCTCTAGTTCTCCTCGGAAAGCCAAGGATGGGCCAAGGGCCAAGGGAAATACGAGCGCAACCCTGTCTCGCTAACAAAGATGACAGTCATTTTGTTTTTTTTGGGGGGAGGGTTTTTTTCTTAGCGCTCGTTCTCGCTTGCCTTGCTAGAATGGTATATTCATTATTTTAATAATTTATCTGACTTCAAATTGCTGACATTTTGGAGAAGCCGTCTAGTCAATTATTTACTAATTCATGTGCATATTCTATTTCCCATCTACCCATTATTCACCGAACCTATCCGAATTCATTCGGGCAAGGATTCTTTTCGCCTTCTCTTCCCGAGTTCCCGAATGCAACAGCAATTTGTATTTTTCTTAGGCATCTTAGACATACATGGCCAAGTTACATAGACAAATCCTAGTAGACTACCCCCGTAGGGATCTCTACCAGGTTAATCCACCAATACGGCCTAGGTTCCTGTTTTGCATATTGAGTAACCGTTGGTCTAAGGTAGGAAATTCCCAAGGTTGCAAAACACATCGCCACTAGTAGCAAATCAAACACAAGTCTCTCAGCTCCGTGGGAGCACCGAAATACCTGGGCTAGTGTACATGGCCCTGGAAGGGCCTTGTGGCAAACAGAATTTTATTTTTTCTCTCACACTCCTTTTTTTATTTTTTATTTTTATCAAGGGTTTGCCGCTTCTCAAGAACTTTGTGAGACACTACGCCAGCTAGGGTGTTTGTGTAGGTTTGTTTGATTATGTATACGGGGTTGCAAAGGTACAAGATACTTGAGATTCTAGTAGAATAAATACGAACCGACCAATGAAAATGAAATACTGGGAAGGGGAAACATTCCTAGAGGAAGTAGTTTGAATTCAAATATTTCAACTTAAAAAAAAAAAAAAAAAAAATAGAACTGAGGGAAGACATCCGCCATTGTCAATAGAGTGCCAAATATTGAAACATATCTATTTGATCAATCCCTGCAGCTCAAAACCGGTTTTCCTTTGGGTTGTAAGGCTATTGTAAGGTTATTAAACAAACGGATACCATTTCCGATTTGAAGTGGAAAAGAGAGACTCTATAATGGTTGAAATTGATTTGACTATTGACCGTGAATTTACCATGTCTTTTTAGGTCTTTTACTTCCTTCTCGACCGATAGGGGTTTTCTTTCCCCAACTACAAAGTACATTCAGAAAAGTATATACTCGCGGAGTCTCCGGACTTGCGGCCAGACCTGCACCGCTAACTTTCAACGCAGATCCCTACAGGGGTGTGATTGCCAAACCCGTCAAGAGTGGAGAGTCAGAACCCCGGTGAATGTGGAATATGAAAGGGCCGGTAGATCCCGTCTCCAGAAGGATCACCAAGTTATTCCAGTACGGAGCACACTTCGGAGGACCCGGGCTGTCGGTGCCATTCGGGGCTTTTTTCTTTTCCCAGCAGACCGGGATCCTAATATCACACACGATATGTACCTGCGCACTATATGTGGACACACAAAAACTCATACCTTGGGAACCTCGGCGATCTATGTGTTATAGAGTGCAATATCGAGAGACCGGGCTGGGAGTACTACGCAGAGTGTTTTTTTAATGGGTCTCTCCCCTCTCCCCCTTCTTTCCCCCCACATGCAAGTCACAAACTGCGTGTAACTGGGCGTTATGCGTTAGCCTTGAAAACGGGGTTTGATACCTCCAATCGTTGAGGGTTGGCAAGGTTCTTCCGCGTGTGTGTTCATTTCGCTTCATCTTTTGCTCATTTCGTTTTCTTCCTATCGGAGGTTTCGATTAGACCGATCCTATTTATACCATTTTATCTCCCTCCAATCGATACAGTAAGACATAAAGTGGCGTATGCCATGGTGCCAACTTTCGAGCGGCCATGGCAATATGGCAAGATAGGATGCTGTACCCCGTACATAATGATTTCCTCTCCTTGAATACAGAATGCAAAGTACAGACTTCGGGCGACGATCTCCACTAAAATGCCTCTGGTCAATTGGTCTTGCTACACCTCCACTTCTGTAGTGTTTCAAGACTAGCATAACGGGGCCAGCTAAGTTCCATGGGCGCATCGGACTATAGATTCCCTGCGGAGACTCGGAGACTAGGATCTAGCCGCTTGCCAACTAATGTATCAGAATGTGTTGGGATGGAAATGAAACCAAAATCCAACATGGGACGGTGATTGGTTCAATATCACTCGCGTATATAGATGCACCGATAGAGGAGCATTAATTAATTAAGATCGCAAAAGACCCAATCTCGATAAAACATGGCGAATTAAAAAATAATCAAGAGTGCAACATAGATTCACGATCGGAGAAACGAGGCTTCGCTTCCAGCGACCGAGGCTGATATTTCCGGCCCCCATGCCAAGCCCCTTTCTCTGTTGTAGTAGCATCAGCGTTTTTGGCCCTATTGACGCCTAGGAGGGGGGGGCCTAACTACTCCATAGTCAATCAACGGATGGGGAACATCAGGGATACGAGACGTCGAGAGCTGCAGGTAATTTCAAAACTTGTGAGAATTTAAGTTCATTTCCGTGTTGCAGCATGTGCAATACCGGAGCAGAGAGAGAAATAGGATCAAAGCAGAAAAAGAAAAAAAAAGAAAAGAAAAAGACCACCAGGATTGAAAGAGCTAGGCACAGGTATTTCCGTTTTCGGATTTGATCGGCTATACACTCATTTACTGACTTATTATAAATCGACAGAGTACGGAGTACGTATGTACATACATAAGCTCCCATGCGAGATCCCTACGCGCTCCAAGAGTCGGTGTGGGGATATTTCCAACGGCGATCTAAGGGGGCAGGACTGGACCCGCAGCGGGCTTCCTCGTGTAAATGGTCGAAGCGAGAATTTGCTACAATACCCAGGTGAAAAAAAGTGTCTAGAGAGCCTGTCATGGGTGTCCCCGGTCAGGTGTATGGCGATGTGCATTAAAGCATTGCCTAAGGTGGGAGGTTTCTGAAACGGGATAAATGACGACATGGAGCATGGCCATGTAGTATCGGAGTTAGGGCATTACGTTCCTATTTCCTAGAGAAGTAGTACTCCGTAGACGCCGTTGCATAGCTTGCCGGCGTTGACGCGGGGTGGAGAACGTGAGCTTTTTTATGGGGGACTCTCGAGGTACTACAGTAGGAAGACTCAGTTCCTAATGGGGAAAGCAGTGTGTACCGTAAGAGAACATCCCTGTTCCTATGAATCCAAGGTGTTATTTCTAGACCTATCAAGTGATCTACAAATAGTTATGTATAATAGTACTCCGTATAAATGGTATAAGAGTAAAAGAGCTTGGGCCTTCCGGGAGCACCGGGGTACACGGCGCAGAGACTGGTAAGTGCGGGTATTGTATTGTCAAATACATGACATTGCGGAGATGCGCTATGGACCGTTCCCGAAGGTCCACTAGGATCCCGGTACCTGGAGACGGTATTTCATTTGGTACATTACAAGTATCTAGTAATTCAAGATATTAGATGAATACTGCATATTGTAGGTATACATACTCCGTACTCCGTATGGAATGTAATAAGCAGAATCACATTGTCTAGGAAACTCAAAATAGGAAACTCAAAAGGAAATACTTGGCGATCCACAATGTAACCTGTCAAAGACAATTTCTTGGAAACCTCACCTGTTAGCCGACTAGATTCTGGTTCCATGTGGTCCCCGATTGTCGACCTACGTAATCTACATTTGGAATGGTAGATGGAGCCCGTCAAAAGAGTAGTGGGGGTCGGTAATCTTTCCATGGTATGTTGTAACAATCAACCATTTCCATTGAAACTAGCCCGATCTGTCCGGGAAAAGACATAAGAGAGACGTAAGAAACAAGCTTTGTGGAATGGGGTAGAGGACACGCACATCTCAGGTCACGGGATTTTGATCCAATAATTTCACTTCAAAATCATCTCCGAAAGCAGTTGCCTCGTTACAAAGTACAATGTATGTTGTATGAAGACTTGGGAAAAAAGAGGGGGTTTCCTCTAAATGGCAAGTTGAATACGAGCGATCACCTAGTTCTAGCTCGACAAAACTGTGTTCTTGCGGCTCAGGCCGATCCCAAACTTTCAAAAAAAAAACTTTCAAACTAGAAATTTGAAAACAAGAACAGAACCAATACTAGACCCAGAACCAGAACCAGAACCAGAAAAAAGAAAAAAGAAAAATCAAATGATTGCCGCTCGGCTATTCGTAGTGGAGCAACATTTGAAGTCCC